GGGAGGCAAGTGGTGCTTTGCCAGCTCCAAGCTGTACTGTCCAGCCCCACTGCCCTGATGTCCCCCCCAGGACTCCCACCCCCGCTTCTGGGAGAACCCTGCAATGGCACGACAGTCCCCCAGAGACCCACACACCCAGGTCTGGGCCTCTGCCAGGGCAAAGATCTGGTGTGGCTGCAGGAGGGGTGGGTCCCCTCCTCCCTGCCCCCCCACCCCGCCCTGAAAAGGATCTGCTCTGGGGATTATTTCATGCAGTTCTGTGCCACGCAGGGGGGTCAGATGAGCCAGTTGCAATGGATCCTTCCGGCCTTGGGATCGAGGCATCTGGTGCCAAGGAATGGGGCACCACCTTCCTGCACACACAGATCTGGTACAGCCCCCCCTCCCCAGCGCTGGCTAAGCAGCCCCATCCCCATTGGGTGTTGGGGGAGGGGATCGTGGGTCCCACAGGCCCGTCGCACCTCCCCCCGCCTCAGCGTGAAGCGCACACAGTCCCAGCGGCTGGTGGGTTTGGCTCGGGGCAGGCCATGAAAGGGGGCCACTGTCTAACATCTGGCAGGCGTTCGACCTCAGCGCAGCGCAGGCCCAGCCGCTTCAGTCAGGCAGAGCAGCCGGCCCCTCCCCACGTTCCCCTCTGCCACAGCCCAGCCCCCCACCAGATCCCAGCGCACCCACCACAGCCCAGCCCCCAGCCCCCCCAATGCCCAGCAGAGCCCAGCCCCCCACCCTTCCCAACAGCCCAGGCTTCCCCCCGCCAGATCCCTGCCCCCCCCACCTCCCAACATCCCCAGCCCTCCTACACACCAGCCCCTTCCCACAGCCCAGCCCCCCACCCCAGCCAGAGCCAACCACTGCAACCACCCCCCCTGCCTTTTGGGGGAGCCCAACATATTCACATCCTGCCCCGCAATAGCCCATTCCCCACCCCACAAACTCCAACCCTCCCCCCACCCGCTCTGCTCAGGTTTCAGTGTGATTTGCAGATGGTACAAATTAAAGGGTGTGGTCCCATTCCTTCCCCCCCATTCCCTGGATCAATCCCCCCCCCCCCGTTTCTACCCTAGGCTCCCCTAACGGGAGGCAGCCCGATGGTCCCTGCTTCCCCCCCTCCCCCATGCGAGGAGATGGAGCACCCAGGGAGGGGACAGGCAGATCCTAGCCTGCAGCACGGGTGTGAATGGGGGGAGGGAGAACCTTCTGCCTCCTCAAGTGGGGGTGTCCCATTCCCACCCACAGAGAGAGGCATGGGGAGGTGAACCCCTCATTCGTATCATGCACAAGGCAGGGTGGGAAAGAGAAGACACTCGGCAGCTCAGGTTTGGGGGTGCAGGGGGAGAAGGGCTCAGCGGCTCAGGTTTTGGGGTGCAGCAGACAGCAGCTCAGCACTGGGGTACATGGGGAGAGGGGCTCAGCAGAGCATGTTTGGGGGTACAGCGCACAGCAGCTTAGGCTTGGGATATGGGGGAGAGGGGTGCAGAGCACTGCCACTCAGGTAAGGGGGTGCAAGGGGGCATGGGACTTAGCAGGCCAGATTTGGAGGTGCAGAGAGCACAACAGCACAGGTGTGGGGGTGCAGGAGCAGGAGAGACAGCACAACGCCGTAGTGGGGGTGCAGAGAGTGCGGAAGCTCAGATTTTGGAGTGGGGGAGACAGCAGCCTAGGCTGGGGGGAGCAGAGACCATCTGCATAGCCGGGGTGGCGGGGGGCAGGGAGCAGAACTGGCTCCACACTTTGGCTTCCAAGCACGGCTCGAGGAGGAGAATGTGCGTGTTGTCCACAGCTCGTAATAATTCAGCTGAGCAAGGGCTGGGGAGGGGGGAGGGGAGGGGGCCAAGCGCCGGCGTTCCTGGGGCCGAGGGAAAGAATTTGGAAGGCAGGAACGTTTTCCTGGCTGCTTCAAGCATCTGGTTTTCATAAGGGTCTCTGGGCTGAGTGTTTTTAACAGTGACTGCCTGGAGCTCAAAGCAGCCCATGGACATGACTGCAGGCTGGAATCTCCCTCCAAATTCATTATTGGTGTCAGCGGTGGGATGATGCCGCCATGGGGGGGTTGACCCACGCCAGGCACAGGGAGGTGGATAAAATGCCAGGGTCTGACCCACTAGCTCTCCAACCGTCAGTCAGTCACAGGGCATGTGTGTGGGGCCTGCTTTCCCCAGCCACACCAGGGTATCTAGCTCCACCCACCCCTGTGCCACACCAAAAGCCACTTGTTTGCATACTCACGGACATGCATTGCATGCAATGGGGGGTCTGGATCTCAGTTACTGTGTAGTGCCTGGCCCCATGAGACACCAATCTCAGTTAGTGTGTGTCTGGGTAGCGGTCACCGTGCGTCTGGGCAGTACCCGGCCTGACGGGGCCCTGATCTTGGTCACTGTGCGTCTGGGCAGCGCCCGGCCCGACGGGGCCCTGATCTCGGTCACTGTGTGTCTGGGCAGCACCTGGCGCGACGGGGCCCTGATCTCAAGTGGGGTTTTCTGTGTGTTACCATAATAACAAATACTGCTCAGCAACCTGCCCCCTTAACTTTGTGGGTGCTTCAATCCCTGCCCTCCACCCCCCCGCCCCGCCAGTAAAGCAGCACTTCCACAAATAACACTGATTTTTATTTACAAAAACGGGGTGAAGGGGAGGGGGAAATTATATATAGAAATACAAGACTGGCAGGGGGGTTTGCCACAGACTCCAGGGAGGTACCTATGTACAGCGCGGACTCCAGGGGAGTTACGTTACAAAATCAGAATAATAAATACGTTCATTTAAAAAGTATGCGACGTGGTGAACGTCGCTCCATGGAAGTGCTGGCCCAGCCGTTCCCCCGCTAGCGGGGCCGGGGTCTGCGGCAGGGGAATAACACAGTTAATTATCTGTGTAGCGGGCACGGGTGTCTATTTCAGGGGAGCGATGTAACGGAACAGGCTGGATCTCCTTAGTAACCGGCCCTGGGCTCCCACTCCCACCCCCTCCCTGGCAGAGATGAAACCCACACAACTGGGGAGGGGAATTTTATCGCTGCTGAGATGGTGACCCTTGGAGAGGGATCCTTCCTGGTCTAGCCCCAGAGTGGGCACAACCCCGGGCAGGGGGAACCTCATGCCTGCACCCCAAATGCTGCCGAGTCAGTCTCAGCCCCGGCCGGGAGGGACCCCTGTCACGGAGGGGGATGGTGAGCAGCGCCCGGGCTCCTGGTGGGAGTTGAGACCCAACAAACTAATTGCAGACGGGGCAGCGTTACCCAGCTGGGCGGGACTGGAATTTGGGAGCTCGAGGGGAAAGGCCCCTGTATCTCACGCCCCCGTCCTGCCCGCCACGTTCATCAGGGGCTCCTAGAGTATCGGATGAGCTGCAGCGGTGGGAGCATGTGCGGGGGGCAGCTAGAGTCCATGCACCCAGGCATAGGCTCCCAAAGGGAGAGGACGGGGGTGCCACCACCCTGAGATCTCTGCACCCTTAATCCGTCACGCCGAAGCCCTGGGGCATGATCCGTGGGTGCAGGGAAAGACAGAGGTCTGTCCTAACCCAGAAGCTGCTGTTAAGCCTGGTGGGGCCCAGATCCCAGCAAGGCGATGAACACTAGTGGGGCACGATTACAGTGCTCGTGCCCCAGGCACGGCTCGGTGCCAGCCGCCAGGCTGTTGGCACAAGCTCACTAGTGCCCACAGCGTCACCATTAACAGACCCAAAGAGCTCGTCCGTTCAGACACCATCGCATCAGCATCACAATCTCCTGGCTAGTGGCCCAAACGCAGCTCACCACCCCATGCGGGGGGCATCACCCCAGGGCCCACGATTTCACTAGTGCCCCGGTTTCACCATTAGCGTCTCCGCTGCAGCTCGGCATCAGGGTTTTCCCAGTGCCATGATTTCCCCTGGGACAGGTGTGGGGTTGGCAGCGAGGGTCTCGCACCAGGAAGTGAGTGCTCACGAACAATGGTGAAGGGAAGCCAGGGCAGACCGCAGCTCCCCCACCCAATTCCCTCCCCAATTAATTTTAGCACCAGTTGCCTGGCTGCAATGTAACCCACTGACCCCTAGCAGCCAGCGCCCCCTGCCCCCTCATGGCATCCCCCTGCCCATGGAGACTGGTGGGGGGGCATCTTGCACCTCTGCTAAAAATGAAACCTGGGGGCTTGAACAGACCAGCTTCCGGCCTGACGTTTGCATCACGGGGCTGGAGAGGGAAGGGTTTGGGGACGAGGGGAGACAGGGTTGCCACCCCTCCAGGATTGTCCTGGAGTCTCCAGGAATTAAAGATGAATCTTGAATTAAAGATGATGTCACTGGATGAAATACATCCAACCAAAATTGGCAACCCTGGGAGGAGAACTGGACCGGCGGGAAAGGAGATCAAAGAGGCCCCAAAGCTAGGTGGGATGGAGGGATGACGTGCCCCTCCCAAGGCAAGTAGGAGTGGGGGGCATGAGGTGAGGGGGGTGCATGGATCCAGGGTGGGTCAGGGGCCTGGCAGGCTGGGGGGTGGAATAAGGGGTCGAGGGGAACCCCCAGGCTAGGGCGGGTCAGGGTGTAGATCAGGCTGGGGGTTGGGTCAAGTGACATTCCCAGGCTGAGGGTGGGGGTCGGCTGGATAATCCTGAAGGGGTTGGAGCAGGTTGGGAGAGGGTCACTCCCAGACGGGTAGGGTAGATGGGGGGGTGAGTCAAGCCCCCCTCAAAAGGCCACGGGGTATGGAGTGTGGTGGATCAGGCTGGAGGGGTATGGGTCAGGGGATACTCCCAAGCTGGAGGGTGTAGACGGGGGTGGGTCAGTGCCCCCCCAGGCCAGGAGGGGTATGGGGCAGGGTTTGTTGGGGGGCACCCCCAGGCAGGGGGGCATAGACCGGGAATGGGTTAGGCTGCCCCAGGCCAGGGCGGTATGGGGCAGAGTTGGTTGGGGGGTGGAGGAGGCTGGAGAGGGTGTGCGTCGGGGGCACCCCCAGGCTGCAGGGGATGGCGGGGGGGGGGGGATTAGACCCCCCCCCCCCGCCCCCCAACCCAGGATCTCACACCGTCGTCATCACTTTCAGGGAGCCCGATCGGAAGCGCATAATCTTCTTCTTGAGGGCGTGCGAGGCCTTGATCTTGACAAAAACCTTGGGCCGCCCGCCGGCCTGGCCGGGCCCCGCGCTGGCGACTAGCTGCGGCGACAGCTGCTGGGGCCAGACCAGCCCGCTGCTCTCGTCCGTGTCGCTGGAGCCGGTGCTGAAGGCGGGCGAGCCGCCCTCGCTCAGGCTGGACTCGCTGTCGCCATAGGCCAGTCCCTCCTCCAGCCGGCACACGGGGGCCCGCCGCGCCCCGCCGCCCCGCCCGCCCGAGCACTCCGAGTCGCTCCCGGCGTAGCCGTACAGCACGTTGCGGGGGGGCGAGGCGGCGCCCGGACCGCTCCGCCCCGCCCGCCGGCTCCGCCGCGGCTCCCCAGCGCCCGCCTCCTCCTGGCAGATCTCCGCCGTCGAGCGCCACTTCCGGTAGCCGGCGGCGCCGGGGTGGGGGCGGCGCTGCCGGGACGGCTTGAGCACCACCTCGTCCCTCTCCACCGTGTGGTACTTGGTGCCCGAGGCGCCCGGCTTGTTCAGGAGGCTGTTCTCCGACTGGGAGCGCGCCGCCTTCTTGCCCCGGGGGGAGCCTTTCCTGGCACTAGCCCGGCGCCCCCCTGGCACTTCCCCACCTTCCTCGGTGAAGCGGCACTTCTTGGGCATCGCCGCTGCCCGAGGCCTCTCCCTGGGCGTCACCGGGGCCCGCTCTGGTGACAGCTCCACCGAGCGCCCCTTGGTGAGGGGAGGGGGCTTCTTTTTGGCCCCTCGGTGGGCCTGCTGGGCACGGGGGGGCTGCTGGGCCGGGATGTACTGCGCCTTCACCATCTGGCAGGCCCCGTCCTCGGTGCAGGCCAGCGGGGGGCGGCCCCCCCTCTCCTCGTAGGGAGCGGGTTCCTGGCCATTCCTGGCGTGGGCGCCGTCCTCGCCCGGCCCCTCCTCGTAGTGATCCACCGACAGGGCAGGCCGGAGGTGGGCCAGCGCCTGCAGCTTGGGGGGCTTCTTGAGGCTGGAGTGGGGGGGGGCGTAGCCTTCGGGGGGCCCCTTGCCGGCCAGCGTCCTCTCGGCCGCGGCGTCCCAGGACGACCAGATCCGGGCAGCCGCGCCGGCCCCGCCCTCGTAGCCGCAGGGCGAGGGGGTGCTGCTGCCCCGCTCCATGGCCGGGGGGTGCTTGCGGTCCGCCTGGGGGCCCAGCAGCTCCGAGGGCCTCTTGCAGAAGCTGTTCTGGCGGGCCACTGCCTTGGCAGGCGGCTCGGCGTTGAGGCTAGTCCGGGGCTTGCCGCCCCGCGCCAGCTGGCTGCGCCGGCGGATCAGCCGCGAGATGTAGCTCTCCACCTTGTGGCAGTGAGCGGCCTCAGGGTAACAGGTCAGCTCCTGTCCCCCGAACTCCTCCAGCCCCCCGGCCTGCTCCGCCCCATAGGCCAGGCCCGGCGAGAAGGGGGTGGCGTCGTAGAGGCGGCCGCGGAGCAGCGGGTTCTGCATGGCCACGGCGTGAAGGGGACTGGGGTACAGGAAGGGGTCCAGGCTGTCCCGGGGCGGGAGGCGCGGGGGCGGCTCGGAGGGGTAGTCCTGAGAGCTGGAGTAGGGGGCCGAGTAGGAGCGGGGAACCATGCCCCACCCGGCACTGTCTTTGCCACTGCTGCCCACCTCGCCTGTGGGACAGAGAGAGACGGACTGAGAGACAGACCCGCGGACAGAGGGAGGGACAGACCCATGCAGGGAGGCTCCAGCTGGTGGGGGCAGTGCTCGGCCCTCTTCGCTCCCATAGGGACGAAGGCAACCCCAGAGACAGGCCAGCCCCGTTCGCCACCCCCCAACTCTCCTTGGCCAAGACCGGACAGTCCCTGACAACCCATCCGGCCCGGTATTCCCCAGGACCCGACCCACAGCCCCCATCCGGCCCGGTATCCCCCAGGACCCGACCCATGGGCCCGTCCGGCCCCATATCCTTCCCTCCCCCCACCAGCTCAGCAGGGCGACCCCAGCCCTGCGCTGGTCTCTCAGGAGCCAGGCAGCCGCTCACCCACGGACTTGGGGCGCTCACTGGCGTAGCTGCCACGCGACTCGGCCTGGCCGATGCGGGAGCAGGAGCCGGAGACGGAGGGGAAGCCGGAAGAGTCCCCGAAGCCGGAGGCCGGCGAGTCTGAGGCCACCGCGGAGGAGGCACCCTCGTAGAAACCTGCAAGAGATGTCAGCTGTGAGCTGAGGGGGCAGCTGTGAGCTGCGGGGGGCAGGGATGGATTTGTGGGACAGCCATGAGCTGGGGGGCAGGGATGGACGTGGGGGGGCAGCCATCAGTTGGGGGGAGGGGATGAGGCAGCCATCAGCTGGGGGCAGGGAAGGGAGAGGCAGGTGATGCGGGGGGCAGTGATAGACCAGGCTGGAGGGGCAGAGGGAAGACAAGGAGAACTGGGGAATGTGTGGGGGGCACTGGCCCCAGAGCAGTAGAGGGGACTGGTCCCATGTTCTGTGGGAACTGCTGATGGGGGCAGGTCGGGTCAGCTGACCGTGGACCTGCGACGGGGGATGGGAGCAGCCCATGGGGCAGCCAGCCAGCCCGTTCCCTGGGAGGGCCTCAGCTTGGAATCTGGGGTGTGAGAAGCAGTTCTGGGGTCCCCTTTCCCTGCAGGGATAACTGGGGGTGAGGGTCGGCTGCATCTCTCCCCCGATCTGAGACACACCCCCCCCCCATATCACACCACCGGGGTCCCTACCCGAGCTGGGCCAGCTGTCCGTCTCGGCTGCCTCCCCACAGGCCTTTTCGGGGTACAGCCGCAGCCCCCCTACTTGCTGCTCCAGTTCCCACATCAGCCCGGGCAGCGCATCCTGGAAGGGAACCAGAGGGGGGGGGGGATGTTAGCGAGGCATTGATACTCCAGCAACAGGAGCCTTCCAAGCCCCCCCATTTGGGGGGGTTCAACTACCCCCCTAACAGTGCCCCCCACCCAGCAGCCACTGCTGCACATCACCCCCCTCAGCCCTCTCCCAAAAATCAGGGCTCAAACTGCCACCCCCCATCAGCGGTAGATAGTCAGGGGGGGGTCAGCTAGCCCCTGAGCGCCCCCACCATGTTTACATTCAGTTGAACTTTGCACCCTGGGGGAGGGGATATCATGGCGGGAGGGGGGATGTGCCGCAGACAGCCCACATGGGGGGGTAGGGTCCGCTGGGTGACCTTTGACCTCCAGACAGATGGGTGTGGGGAGACAATGAGACCCATTTGGGGCTGTCGCTCAAACTCTGCTGGAGACAAAAGTGTGTGTGTGGGGGGGGGAAGACGTCCTCACCCCAGGGAAGGGAGGGAGCTGACAGCTCCAGGGCTGGGGGGGAGGGGAAACAGCTACCACCTGGCCCCACTGCATTGGGATACCCCAACCCCCACCCCCAGATATGGGGTGTGCAGCCGCCCAGGGAAACAAGGCCCAGGGAGCCAGGAGACGGGCCCCAGGCTCTTTGGAACCTGTGCTGGCCTCTACCCTGCCCCATAAGGTCAGGAAAGCAGGAGGCAGCCGGATCCCAGAACTCCTGGGCCCAACGGAGGTGGTGGGAAACTTCCTGAGCTGCAAGGAGCCAGGGTGGGCGCCGGTGGTGGTGGTGGGGGGGTTCTGTGTTCGGGGCCAGAGCCAGTCGGGATGGGGCGGGGGAGAACAAGAGACGGAGAGAAAGAGAAAGGAGGAAAAGGAGGAGAGAAGAGAAGGAGAGAGAAGAACAGGGAGAAAAGGAGAGAAGACGTCACGAAAAACACCTTTATTCACATCAAATTTCATTAAAACTTTTGAAAAATGTTCTAAAATACCAAGACAGGAATAAAACAAAGCACAACACAGCCAGCGGACGTTAAACCTGGATCCCTAAAGCATCGGCGCCACCACGTTCAGGCAAACTCTTAACACCCCACGTCAACCGAACAGCGGCCTGGCTACAAGTCAGTTCAGCCCACAGCCCGGGCCACCGTCAGCCCCAGCCCGTGGGTTCCGGTGACATTTCAAACCGGCTCTCCTGCCCCAGGAGAGAGAAGGAAAAGACAGGGGAGGAGAGAACGAACGGGACAGGCGAAATCGAACAAGAGGGCGCGAGAGGGAAAAGGAGAGGTGTGTTGGGGACGGACGGACAGATGGGGTTACGTGGGGATAGACAGACAGAAAACACAACAACAAAAGGAGAAAAAAACGAGTGAGAGAATGAACGAGTGGGGGAAAAGGAGAGAAAGGAAAGCCTCCCCTACCCCTCCAACATAGACCACCCTGGGGAGAGCTCCCCAGCCCTGCACTGGGGACACGTGCACACATACCCCCCCCCCATCCCCGTGATCTCTGCTTCACGCCTGGCTGCCTTCCCCTCTGCCTGGGGTGAATTTCAGCTCAAAGATTGAGGGGGGGGTTCATTTATCATGGCTCCTGGGGAAAGTGGGGGGGCGACACCTGGTCAGCGCCGGAGGAAATTAATTATTCCTCCTACAACGGCAACGTCGATGAATAAATTACAGCTCAGGGGGCTGCAGACAAAGGGGCCGTGGGGCGGGTATTGCCATCCTATCCCAGATCCACCCCCGTACTCAATAAATACAGCCCATGTCCCCCCCCCCATCACTAGTGACATTCAAAATCAGGGATTATCCTGCTGCTCTAGGGACATCTGATAAATCTCTCCACACCCCCACCCCCACGGAAGGGGCGATGCCCCCCCCCATTCCTGACCTCCAACCCGGCACCTAACCGTCCCCCCCCTGTTTCCACCGTCTGTCTCCCAGAGGCCCTCGGTGTCAGGCTCATGGGTGAAGTCCGGCCATTTTGTGAAGAGGCTGGATGTAAAAATGGCAAATTTCCTAACTATGCCCCCCACCTCAAAAAAACTGTAAAACTCTGGGGGGGGGGGCTGAGGGTTTGTTTTCTTCAGGTCTTTCGGCGTCAGCGTAGCAGGGTCTGGATAGCAGAGAAAGAGCAAGGCTGGTGAGGGAGGGGGAAGGATAGCCTAGCAGTCCGGGACTCTAGCCTCAGACTCCACCACAGCCTCCCTGGGTGACCTTGGACACCAGGCTCTCTGTGCCTCAGTTTCCCCCATCTGTATAATGGGCATAGCTGCCTTGCCTCATAGGAATGCTGGGAAGATCCTTACATTAAAAGTTTGTGGGGTGCTCAGGTGCTATATTAATGGGGCAAGAGCAGGACCTGAGATGATTGTTACATGGACTATCCAGAAGGGGGCAGCACTCACAAGCCAGGCCAGAATTTCCATTTAGCGACCTAAATGAATTGAGTGCCGAGGTCCCACGTGTGGATGCTGGGCTTTGGAAAACCGCTGGCCCTCAATGGCCTTGGCCACTGGACCTTCTGCCCCATCAAATCCTCCAATGGCGCTAGTCAGGTTCTTATCCTACTATCCCACGCCCATCCCCACAGTATCTGGGCACCTTACTATAAGGGGGCATGTAGGCACCACATTAAGTACACATGTAAGGGCTGAAACGACCTGCATGCATCACCCATGTGTTCGCTGCACTTTTCCCTTCCCAGAAGGCCAGATGATCCAGCCATACAGGTCCCATGGCCGAACCGGCAGCCATTGGGGTTTTCACTGCGGTGTCGGCTAGCCCTGCTCTGAGTTAGGCTGTTGGCAATTTGACAGTCTAATCACTAACTCATGCTCCTCTCCCAGAGTGAGGAATGGAACCCAGGAGTCCTGGCTCCCAGCCCTCCTGCTCTAACCCACTAGACCCCGCTCCCTTCCCAGAGCCAGGGATAGAACCCAGGAGTCCTGGATCCCAGCCCCCTTCCTCCTACCCACTCCAATCCACTAGACCCCACTCCCCTCCCATAGCTGGGAACCCAGGAGCCCTGGGAGTTAAAATGCCAGCCATAAAGGTCTGTTTGGTCCTACAGCATGGAAAGAATTTTTTTCAAGGGGCCCTATCAGAATAAAAACCAAATTATTGTCTTTGAGATACTGATGTCCGCTAAGGGTCTGGGCCCCCAACTGGTATAAATGGGGGTCACTCTATTGGAGTTGGCCCAGCAACACTGGAATGAATAGAACCAGATCCTCAGCTGGTGTAAGTCAGCATCACTCCATTGGAGCAAACAGCGCTGCACCAATTTGCACCAGCTGAGCTCCTGGCCCAAAGATTTTTAAACCGGAAAACAACTTTAAAATCCCCCCCTAGGAAGTGACAGATCCCAGCAGTGCCCCATATTGCCCAGCAGCCCCCTCCCCGTGGCTAGTCCAGGTATTTCAGAGGCAGGTGCAAGGCACTGTGGATAGGACTGTGACCAACTAACCTGCCTATGAGGGAAGTTCTCCCAATCTCCATCCGTTTGCAGTGGGATTATACACCGAGGCAGGCGGATTTATATCCCATGTACATTTTCATCCCAGCGCGTGTAGCCGCAACCGTTCTTATTATTCCTATAAATGGCTAATCCTTTTTGGAATCCTGCTAAGCTCTGTAATATCTGGTGCTGGCGCATTTCAAACATCTAAATCCACACACACAAATGTGTTTGAAAAACCAATCCCGATCCAACTGCCAGCAGCCGCGATTAGCCTCTGGTAAAGGATGGAGCTGAAAGATACATCCTGGGATACAACGGCAAGGAGCACTAGATCTGTGATTTGCATGGGTGTGTTATCGGCAGCCCAGATAGCAATGTCAATCGTTAAGGTTGTCTGACAGTTTCCATTATAAGAGCCTGTTTTCGGTTACTTATAACTTTAGCTGTTCAGGTTGAAATTTTCCATGTGGGTGTCAGCCTCCGGCTGAATTTTTCTGGAAAGTTTCAGCTAAAACAGGTCAGCTGTTTTTGAGAACAAAGTTAGGGGGGAAATACAGCACTTTGGCCATGCTCCCCCCCCCAAAAAAAATTTTTTTTTTCTTCCAGCCATTTGTTTGAGAAGCTCTAGTGCCCCCATGCTTTGGGGCAGGGACTTGAAATCTGGCAGAGGGGCCAGGGATGTGCCTTCTGCTGTTCCCCTGAGAATCTGTCCTGTGTGCCAACCAGACTGCCCATGCACCATCCCAACAGAGCAATTGAACATGCTCCAGCCCAGGGCTACAGGGGCTGAGCAGGACTCCTGGAAATTGCTCCTTGGGGATGCTGGGGGGTAGCGGGGGCAATGCAGAACAAAGAGCAAGGAGATTCTCTCCGGCTCTCCGAGTGCTCCCCCTGTTGTTACCATGCAGCATGGAAGAGGAGACAGCTGCCAGGCTGGAATGCAGAAGGGTGAGGAATGAGAAGGCTGGATGGGGGGAACGGAAGAGAGGCAGGTAGGAAGAGGGAGTGGGATAGGAGGAGGACCAGTCATGAGCCTCAACATCCCTCTGGTGTCAGAATATAGCTGTGAAACCCACAGTCAACATGTGTCTCTCCTCCCCCTCTAGTGGCAGATCCACATAGAAGATAACAGCCTACTACTGCTACCAGGACTGCGCTGTGAATCCAATGACCCCAACCCTGATGACACCCCGCATGTGTGGGAGGATCAATATGGCTCCACAGTATGAAATCCTCTCCCCTCCCAATTTTTAAAATCATATGAAACCACATTTAAAAAAAAAAAAAAAAAAAAAAAACTCTGCATAAAGAGGCCGGGCATATATTTAAATCTAGCCTACTTTCCTCCTGGCTTCGTGGCTAAGATTAGTTGCAGCGCAATATCAGGCAACCTGCCTCAGGGAAATGGATCTGATCTGGTTAGAGATTGCAAAGATCCTATTTATGCGCTGGGTTTCCTGCCTCGCTCAGGAACCCTGGAACACAGCTGGGTTGTTTTCACTCCGATTCTAATCAGTTCCACTTCTTGCCTCTCACCAGCACAGGGCAGCAAATATA